AATGTTTTCTTGATGCTCCTAGCCTTAGTTTGATGTCAAATAAATCCATCTTTCATGACTAAAAGTCAAGGTCAACCGTAAAGAAGCAACTTGTGCTTACATTTTGATGTAGGCTAGATTACATAGCATGTCGAAAGATGGCGTGTCGAGAGATAGTTGCTATGCACGTAACACTGAAAGTGGGTGTAAGGTGGACGTTATGTCATTATGTTTGCAGTGTGAACAGCCTGACATAGTGACATAATAACAACATAACAGCAAGAATGTAATGACATAAAGGAAACCTGATATATTTGTTATGTCTTTTTGTCGATGTTCACATTACCAACATAAGCAATAGTTGTGGCATCCCATAATTTCAGATAATACCTGACTAAGGGGGCAAACTGTTTGAGTTATTGAAGAGTGATCTTTTTGACATGCGCAAGGAGTTGTTTTTGTCACCTAGGCAAGAAAATTTAAAACGTGAGAGGTATACTTAGCTTACCTGTCATGTTTTAGCTTTTCTCACCTATATAGGTGATGAAATAACCATACTGAGAAAGCTAAAAGCAATAAAACAAAAGAATCAATAACAAGAGAATCATACATGAGAAAATAAAGCAAACCATAATCGTACAGCGGGGGCAGCTGTATTGTCAACTATTATTAGTTATACGCTTACAATGTGGAGTTCCAGAAAATATCCAAACTTCCCCCACGGAAGGGAGTTTCTCTAAGGCCCATCATCCTTCTGGAAATTCCAATTAAGCTTCATAAATTTCTGTATATTTTTTGGTCTTACATTTACTTCCCCTACCCACAGGGAATTCCAATCCCTTCTGTTGGGGGAGTATGGATATTTTCTGGAACTGCACAATGTTCATAATACTTGGTCGTTGATTTAAGACCCCGGTTGGTGCTCTGGTCAGAATTTGAACCCATGACATACCCCAGCCCTCAGTCAGGTGCGAAGCAAGTGATGTAACCTGTTTAATGTATGTTCTACCACTGATATTTGCAGGGACCTATTAATGGAGAAACAGAACCACCCTCCATGGTAGCATCTTCAGCCATTGTTCAAAACGTTCAACAAGAAAGCTTTCAGGTGGGTGGTCTCATGTTAAGCAAAATTTTATAACAGAGGTTTCATTGCTGTTTTGCTGTGCGGCAAGGCAACTGGTTTTTGCAGGCACACAAGACTTTGTGAACTGAACTTCATTATAAGAAAAACTTTCCTCTTCATGTTAAAACCAGGCGGGCAAAATTGTCGGCACGGCCAGTCAATTCGCCCTTGTTATTTGTAGAAATTATACCCAAACTTAGTTGTTCTTTCTTGACACTTCAATACAGTTTAGTAAAGCTTGTTTGTAAACTATCTTGTCATTATCTCCATGAGATTACAGCAGGGGTTTCAATCAAAGCAGGCTTTTCTTCAAAGTTTACAATGAACTGGTTGCATTAGTGTGACATTTAATCTAAAATTAGCTGAGGAGGCATATGGCAATATGCAATTAACTTGCATATTGCATACAATATTGCAACACTTGCATATAGTTTTTTCATATTCTTGTCTCTAAACTAAAACGCAATTTAAAAAAAAGTCACAGCATTTTTTAGATTTTGTTTTTCTGTCGCCAATTCTATAGTTAGCTTAGAACGTGAGGAAGAAAACTTGTATGTTACACACAATATTGCAGTGCTTATTTTTATCATTATTAATGATCCATACCTGTTTATATTTATTATTTCTTACTTTCTTAGCAGCGATCAACGACATTACAGGATTTGTGAAAATTATATTTTGAGGTGGCTTGATATAGGCATAGGGCTGTTGTGATACCTTGTTGTCTTTTTTAACATCGTAAGCAAAACAGAAATCAAGCCTTTCTTTGGCACAGCTCAATGTTTAAGAATTCAAAAACTTTGCTTCCATTAGACTTACTGTTATTTTTGTGGTAAAAAAAAACAGCAGTAATAAAAACAAAGCTTTCTTTACTCCAGACAGAAGATAAATTAAGGATTTTCTGGGTATTAAGATAAGTCTATCTTTCTGGTCGGCACCTTGGTATTGTCATTAGTTCTGTTAATTCCACATGCTATTGTCTTGTTTAATGTCTAGAAATCTTGTTTCTGTACTCAGGAATGTCTGTAAATTCAAACGTTCAAAGCTAATAATAGTCAGCTAAAGATCTTATCATAAGTTAAAAACGTACTTTTAGTTAATTTAATTTAGAGTTTTCTTTATTATCCATTTGAGCTAAAATTGCTTACTCTTCAAGTGGTAACATTACAACAAACTCCATAAAATTGAACTAACGACAGGCTTCATGATCAGTGTAAATCTTGATTCAAAATAATTTTGTTGATTTTCTTTGTTTGATTTCCCACAGTGATCAATATTTATCAACAAGTCTCTTTGTTCCCAATCTCTCTTACTGTGTGCATATGACTCTAAGAGATGATGTTTTCAAGTTGATGATTCTCCTTATTCTCATCACCTGCCTGCATGACAATAATTTAAGGGGAAATTACATTTTGATCATTCCTGGGTTACAGGTCAAGGACAACAGGAAAGGTGTTACCTAACAAAGCCATAAGGGCTTCCACATTGATAAACCTATTACTTTGTTCTACTAGACAGTATTGCTGTTCAATATGTGAAGGGTGTTACAGTAGTTTTTCTTTCCATCTAAGTTTTTCTATATAATATTATGTTATTGAAGTCAGTTCTAAAAATAAATTTATGTTAAAGAAGTATTTTGGTTTGCATGTCAAGTGTGAGTTTAATTTTATGTGTGCAGTGGAGCATGAGATTTCTATTCAGTGTTAAAGAAAGGACCGTGGTTTTGATTGCATGATGTTTTGACATAAGCTGCTTATTAGTATGCATAGTTAGAGCTAATTATTGAAGCTCAAAGTCTCACATTACGGCAGGTTCCGCGTGTTCATCTTGTGAATTTGTGGCAAATTTGTTCTGATCATCAATTGGGAAATGTTGAATCGAAAACAGATCCTAACCCTCACATTTTGAAAGTGTGGCTTTTAACACAAAAATGAAGAACTTATTGAGAGCATGTACAGGTTTCAGTGGGGTACGGATTCACTAGACTGTATCTTTCTCTCAACTCGTTATATTCTAAAGTTATTCAATGTACATGTTCTTTTAACCCTAACATGTTTGGGTTACTTTATCTCTAAACAGAGCAAGACAACAGCAGAAACTTCGCATGTTGATGGAGTTGTGGTGAGTATTAACATTAAGACAAAAATAAGCATTTTAGCAGTGTTTGAATGATGACATAATCACAGTCCTCTAAAAGCATTTGAATGTAAGCAGAATATACAGTTAGCAGATTTAAGAGTGTGACATTTACACAGAAACCCTTAGTAAGACTCAAATAATTTTGCTACAAAGTTCAAGCACTGTTTAATCATTTGATATTGCTGTTAGCAAACGAATATGTGACGAAGAAGCAAGGGAGTGTTTGTGGTTGTTATCTATGCTAATTCAAACCACAGTTTTTCTTTGATTATTAGAAACCTAAAGAGACAATATGCATCAATGATTTTTGTGAACTTTAGATTCATGTATTAGGATAAATTGTTGTTTTGGATGAATATTTCTACCCAGGGCACATTATTAGTCTATTTGTCATTCACTGAAATAGTTCTCAGGAAAT